ATCTTGCTTGTTTCCAACAAATTTTCCGAGTACTTTTGATCAGAGCTTTCAAAATTTCTAACATTGCTCTCCAGAGAAGTGTTTACCTCAAGCCCTCTAAATACCTGATTTGAATTTCCAGAAGTTATAGTAACATTGGAAGTACAAGCACTTGACCGTTGTACCAGTAAAACCCAACCCGTCATCAGGTAACAAGCCTACACCAAGACTACTCCTTTCATACACAGATACTTTCCTACATTGATTTCCTATGCCGTCAGCATTGTGTTCTAAGTACATCTCTTCCTGGTTAATAATGCTATTGCTTTCATATATTGGTAGTTTTATTACCCCATTAATTGTCTGTTCATATCCTACGTTATTTCCATCCCCGGTTTTCTGATTACTGGCATGGTAGTTGAGCAGAGATGTTGTGGCAGTAGCAGAATCAAAAAGAAAAGCTGAGTCATGTTTCAGATCAAATCGAGCTGCAGAAGTATCCTTCCAAGTTGAACTTTTGGTAGTACATGCCATCCTATAATTTCTAGAAACTATACTTCGACTCACCCTCACTAGCTCCCCCTTTTTCAGTGCACCAATCTTTCGTTTAACAAAAATTACTACTACAAAAGGGTCCAGGAGCCACCACTGATAAGCTAGCATGGCAGCAGGCTCTGACTGGCTCATTGCCTTTTCAACATTTATCAATGCACTGGATAGATCAGACCAGAATTGACTAATATCAGTCCATTCTTTACAATTATCCTGCATCGAATTGTATTTGTCAGCAGACAAAAACTGACCACATAACCTCCAAGCTTTTATAAACTCACGAACTGGCCTTCCTTCTGGTGTCCAATAGACTGACTCAAAGTAGCGTCTACAAGGTCTCTTACGCTTTTCAATAGACCATCCTGCCATCATAAGCAACTGCACACAACGGTAATGCAATAAATCACGGGGGTCCTTCTTAAGTTCAGGTGTCAATGATAAATTTGACTTATCCACAACATAGGATAAAGATCCTTTAGGCATCTCCTCAAGTTGCAAATGAGATCCAGATTTCTCCACAGCAGTGATTGATGAACTTGTTACTGCAAGCCTATTTGCGAAACTCTCTTGGGAAACAGGAGAAGCAGTCACTTTACTTGTAGCTACTTCTTTGGCCAAATTTCCATCTGCAGAGGTTTTTTTACAATTTGAAACATCTACACCATCCTTAGCTCTTTTTTTGTTCAGCATCATGCTATGCCTCAACAGATAGCAACTAGATATCACACCATTCTTTGATGATTCAACTAAACGAAGAGAAAGTGGTTTACTATCAAAGTCTGTAACAGCACCAGACACGTCAGTAACATATTCTTTTAGAAGTGTTGGTGAATTCAAAACCTTTTTGAAATTGGATCTACTACAGGGTAGTTGATGCAGGGAAAATTTCATGCGTTTGACATTTACATCCTCATGATTTGGGCCTTCATAATTGAATCTCTCAGGCACAGAATCAAGAGCGGTCTCGTTGAAATTCTGAACCACATCACAATCATCCTCAGAATGGGTCACTTTTGAAGAAGAGGGGCTTGTTAAAACTGAGTTTTCATTGCTGGAGCAGAGTGAAATATTTGTGTTTTTACTAGATTCACATTCAAAGTTGATGACTCCAGTAACCAGACACCTCTGACTAGGCTGAACACTGTCTTTACTGAAAAATACCTCAGTAAAAATCCGTCTTTCATCATTAGAACCTTCAAAGCTGTCATCATATAAATCCTCTATTTCTTTGTTTTGTATCATCTCTTACAGTGAATACTGTTCTAGTTATTTACAACCTTTGCTTACCGGTTCTGCATGTTGCTGCCATCATAAAAACCCAGCTCTGGCATGTTATAAACCAACCTAAAAAAAAAAAAGTCTCATCACCTCAATATAAGAATATGAAGCAAAAATTACTGAAACAAGGGTTCAAACAAAAAGCAAGGCAAAACTAAACATAAACACAAAAAGAAGAAGAAGAATTTAAAAGTCTAAATATGAAACTGGTAAAAACGCACCAAAATATGATAATCACCAATTCTGTCATGGTGATTCAAAGTTTGTAATATTATTCTGGACACATCAACACGCAATTCAAAAATGGCCAAGCACAGCAAAAAGGTGACACCGTTTCTATATGATGCGATTCTATCAAGCATAAACTGTCAACATATTGTTTTCCCACAACCTACTCCCTTAACTGTTACTAAGCTCAGCCCAAAAAAAAAGAAGTCGCTTGGATTTTGACGATCTCGGAATGATGCAATTAACTCAGTACAAAAGGAATTGTTTGCAAAGGACATGTAATGCTGTGAAAATCAACATAGGTTTTACACTATTTTCCTTTTTCTTGGCAGAGGCGGTTTCACATAGGCCTGAAAGAGGAAAGGAGGATGGCTCGTGTTGCATGACAGGAATTACCAAGTAGTAATGCATCACGTTAAAATGAACCAAAATAATTTTGGAAACTAGACAACGATGCAGTGTGTCCTTGTAAGCCTGGCAAATTACAATATGCGCATCTTTTTCCCACACAAACCTTCGTGAGTTGATGATAAATATTTTTCGTTTCATTTTTCTTATCCCAAGAAAAATATCAAAAGTTTTTCTAATCGCTGGTCTAAGCGTATGATTGACATAATAAGGTAAATAGAATGCATTAACATCCTGGATGCAACTCGAAAGAAGTAAAAATATTTTCTAATAGACTATAATTTGCTTCAATTTTAAACTGTATCCAAGTTACTAAAACATGGTTTATGTAATATAAGCTGAAGTTCTTATGCTTTTTATACGGTGTCCAAGTTACCAAGACATTGTTTATGGAATATAAGCAGAAGTTCTTGTGCTTTCGATAAGCACCAAAACTCATCTATAACATTTTCAGAAACAAACATAACTTCATATTCAAGCCATTTTTAAGCCAGAACAGCATGCGAGCTACTGAGTTAAAACACTGGGAGCGAAACAGTGGGCATGCAAGATCGAACACTCATTGATTGAACAAGACGTTCCAATGAGACAGGCAAACACAGAGAAACGAAGAAAACATGAATCCTGTGACAAAATTGAACCATCTCACCCGCATGCATTGATCCCAGAGGATCACAGAGTCAATACACAGAGAAAATTCAGAAATGCAAGAAGAACCAGAAAATGAAAAGCACAAAAGCTCATCAGCTTCACATTTCAGTGAGAATCATGACCTTTACAGCTCAAATTTCAGATAAAGAGATCCACAATCCACCTTCCATGTCCACATTCATCGAACTTGGCATGCATGTCAACAAACAAGTAAGGACCAGAAATTCCAGCAACCTTGGCAGTGCATTCTCCACGATGACCGGACTCCACAATTAGGGTTCCCTAGCAGAAGAAACTGGACGAAAAAGCTGATACAGATTGCATTAGCTTCATTCTCAAAAGCACACCAAACCTCATCGGCACCGGCAGCGAACGAAATGTTGTTTCCAAAGCGGAGCAGATGGCAGAAACCGCTCTCCCTCTCTAAGAGCTCCTTCTCTCTCTCTCTCTCAAAGCACTTTCCATGAGGCCATGAGTGAGAGTGTCATCGACTTGTACGCTCCCATTTCCACTTAACTTTGTCCCTTTGTGGCTGCTTTTATTCAAGTTTAACCCCTTCCATGGGCATTGCAGATGAGCTCAAAAAGTGGAGTTTCTTCTCCTTTTCTGAAAGAAAATAAAATTTTCTAGAATTCTTCTTCTTCTTTTTTTTTCGTTATAACATTTTTTTTAGTAGAATGTTATAATATTTTCATTATTGATTTATTGCATTAGTTACAGTATAGATATTTATGTTTCCTTTTTAGGAAAAAATATAAATGCACACAAGCTCCAAAATCTCTTCTTCAATTTATTACCATTACTAAGAATAATAAATTGTTTTGACTAACGGAATTTATTCTCAACATGATAGTAAAAGTAATGGATGTTAACCTCCAACATATGTAATTAATGATACTATACCTCCGGTTTTTAATATAAAAACTAATTTAATTTTTATTTTGATTCTAAATATAAGATTATAATCTATTTTGATTTGTCTCTCATGTTTTTTTTAAGATAGTCTTTATAATAATGATAACTCTAATTAATGCACTTTATTAGTAAGAATATTTAATGAAAGACAACACATATTTATTACAAATAATTAATTTAACTAGTTTTTTTTAATATACTCAAATTAATCAACTAGCTTTTATAATAAGGACCGGAAGTAGTATAATTTTTTATGTGATAGTTAAGACGATGAAATATTTTTAGAAAAAAAAATTTAAGTGCACCTTTTATAAAAATAATCCGTGTAATTAAATATCAAGAAAAGTTCTTAATGATTTATTTTATAGGGTATAATTTTATGAGCCAGTATTACATTTATTTAGACTTTCAGAAAGGGATATATATTTATTACATGGCCAACAAAAATGTTTAATAAAATTCCAGAATAGTCTATCCACTTTGGATTCATTGGAAAATTCATAATATTTCATATGATTTTTTTTTTTTAAACCTGATAGGATTTCATATGATTGATACACGGCAAACTAATTTTTTAAGTGATCGTTGGGAGCGGGGAGGGAACACCAAGACAATTACGTTCAGGCCCGCCTTGCCGTTTTTGCAGTATTTAAGGATTAATAAAATGGCAGGGTTTCTTTTTGTGGGGGACGAAGATAACGTTGTTTAATAGTAGCATATAGTAGCGGAGCAATTACCAATAATGGAGCTTAATTATGACATCACGGGCAATGTGATTGGCTTTCAATGAACCTACTAGATTGACAGAATGGGAGTTATTTCCCCAATATTACAATTTATGATTAAAACAAAATAAGATGCAAGGCTTTGATAGTATGATTAAAGACAAGAATAATTATAAGACTCTATTTATGCATTTCCAAGATAATTTTAATAATATTTTATACTATATTTTAGGATACTTATTTATTATAAATAACTAATCCTCAAATAGTAAGGTCTTATAATTAGGAGGATATATTCTCATAACATCTAGTATTTTAATTTTATTTATGGTATACTCAATATTTTAATACTCCTCCGGTCCTTAATATAGGACCCAATTATTGAGTTGGTTTTGGTCCTAAATATAAGACCCATTTCTCATATTTATCAATAATCCCTAAATTACCCCTATGGATACTCCCTCAACCATAATCAAGTAGAAGAAGGAGAGGGGGTAGATTATGGTGTTTTAGGAAAAACGTGTCATATTTATTACAATTAACTAACTTACCTAACTTCCTTAATCTAATCAAATTAGTTAAATGGGTCTTATATTAAGGACCGGAAGAGTATTATTTTTTAGTTTACCTAACACTCCTTGAATGTTATTATTTAATTATATCATTCACCAAAACTAATGTATCAAGTACTGAATACACTATAAATAAAATGCTAAATATATTGATATTTTCATGCCTTTTCTTTTAAAAAAAGTATGGCATAATTTTTTAAGATATTTGTCATCATATTATTTTAATAAAACATGCTAATTTTTTTCCATATGAATCCTTGTTGGTGATAAAAAGATAATTTTATAGAACTAGATGTTAAAAAATATTCATATATGCAACTTGGACCTCGTTCGATCAGCTGACACAAAAACGTGAGCCCAAGCCAAATATTCAACGAAGAGGAGCTAACGAGCAAAAGGGCAATGCATTGCCATTGCAGGGCGTGATTCTCTCGTCTTCTTACGTGGCAAAATCAGATCAGTTAAATTTGGTATCTTTTTACGTGGCAAAATCACAGCAGCTAATCAACATCAATGAGATACGTGTTGGCAAGACCCAAGCTCGAACCCAAGATGCGAGTTATCCGCACCCACGGATCTCCCAGTCCCTCACACAGTATCACGCTGAAGCATAAAATGGCTTTGCGTTACTCAATTCTAGAACTCCCTCTTTCCTTTTCCAGCTTCACTCCCAAGCCCGCCCTTCTCAAGAAACGCTTTATCTCTGTCTCTGCATCTGCAACAGCCATGGCTTCCACTGCTCGAAAGGTAAACCAAGCCTCTCTTCCTTCTTCTGTTTCATTTAAAACTTTGTCGTAGTGGGATCGATCACTGATGCCGAGATTGCTCTTGTTTGGGGTGGGGGAATTGTCAGGTTCTGGTTCCGATTGCCAATGGCTCGGAGCCTATGGAGGCTGTGATTACGATCGATGTTCTCCGACGATCGGGAGCTGACGTTGTCGTTGCTTCTGCTGGGAAGCAGCTTCGTGTTGAAGCTCTACATGGCGTCAAGATCATCGCCGATGCTCCTGTCTCTGATGTTGCTAATACTGCTTTCGACCTTGTCGCTTTACCTGTACATTCCTCTTTCTGAGTCTTGATTATGTTTGATCATCGATTTCGTCCTTATCGCTGTTTGCTGTGCCGTAGAAGTTATTTTGATTGTCTCCGACTCACTTGACCCAGCCGACAAAATGTATAACGTGAAATAAATCTTTGCATTTGAGTTTTGATGGGAAAAAAAGAGAGCAAAATTCTGTTCTGTGTATTGTTCAGTCTCTTAATTTCGAGTTCTCTGAAGTTCTTCTACGATAGGGAGGTGTTCCAGGTGTGGATAATCTCAGAGACTGTGAAACTTTGGAAAGCTTAGTGAAAAAGCACGTTGCAGATGGACGGCTTTATGCTGCAGTATGCGCTGCTCCTGCCATCGTACTTGGATCATGGGGTTTGCTGAAGGGTCTGAAGGTAAGTTGGCTGATTACTTGACATTAACCTTTTTAGAACCCACAATGAGTTATGTGCTCTTGTAGGTTCTAACAAATCAAATGAATGATGGATTTGTGGTAATGGGTGTAATGTAATCTGACAGGCAACTGGCCATCCATCATTTATGGATAAATTGGCATCTCATGCGACTGCTGTTGAATCAATAGTGCAGCTGGATGGAAGAGTTGTGACAAGCCGTGCACCAGGCACTACCATGGACTTTGGCGTTGCACTGGTTGAGCAGTTATATGGAAAGGAGAAGGCGAACGAAGTTGCTGGTCCACTGGTGAAGACTTACTTCTTGATAATTCTAGCAGTTTTTTTTTTTTCTCCCGTTTTTAAGAGGGAAAAAAAAAGGCCATATAGATTTTGCTATTCAGCAAGAACATTGACCCGAAGAAGCACTAGTCAGGGCTTCTGGAAGAATAAGAAAAAGGGTTGAGAGGGTTCTTGTTTCGTTTAGATGGTTGGCACTTGCATTTCCCAGGAATGAGTTAGCAGTTGCTAATCTTTCTTCCAAAATCCTAATGAAGAGTTGCAATGTATTTTAATTCTTATTTCATACCACTGAATAACTGGTCAGGTTATTTATGAGATTGAGCTTGTTGCAGCTGCTTTTTGACATACAAATGCGAGCATTATTAAGATATTTGCATGTTTTATTTTTTAATTCAGGTCATGCGATCCAATCATGGGGATGAATATACTTTTACTGAGCTAAACCCAGTCCAATGGACATGTGATAATCCCCCCAGGGTTTGTTTTCGGCTTTGGACTTTCTTCTTCTTCGTCAACTATTGAGAATTTGACTTTTTCGTTATTTTATAGCAACAGTAGCCATTCTTTTCCCCAAAATGACTTTGGTTGGCTATTGTATTTGCATTGTCTTCTCAGGTACTTGTACCAATTGCTAATGGCACTGAGGAAATGGAAGCTGTCATTATCATTGATGTTCTGCGAAGAGCAAAAGCAAATGTTGTAGTTGCTTCTGTTGAGGACAAAGTAGAGATTTTAGCTTCGCGGAAAGTAAAACTGGAGGCAGACATGCTCCTTGATGAGGCAGCTAAACTTACATATGACCTGATTGTGCTGCCAGTAAGTTTGCATCTTGTTTTGCCCATGGTAGCCACCAGCTAGTATTTGTTTAAGTTGTAAATATAATTCACTGTCTGCAGGGTGGGCTTGGAGGTGCCCAAGCTTTTGCAAAGTCAGCAACTCTGGTCAGTCTGCTGAAAAAGCAGAGAGAATCGAACAGATATTATGGAGCGATTTGTGCATCCCCAGCATTAGTCCTGGAGCCCCATGGCTTGCTAAAGGTACCTCCCCCCCCTCCCTTTCTTTTTGGGGTCGATCAACCTTCATTCTAAGGACAGCTCGTTGGGAAATATTGATGAAATGACATGTATCTTCACTATATGGCCAACTCTTCATTGGAATACAAGAGAAACGACTGCATATCTTGATTCAAGGCATAGGTTCTTTACACAAAACTTGACAAGTTTTCTGGATTTGCCCCCTCTTGTTTTCATTAGATGAAAGTAATTAATGTGCTATTAGAGATATCCAGTTGATATTATGCCAGATAGCAAGTGTCTAAAATTACCCTGACCTAGGTTGTGGATACTAAGTGCAAAGATGAGCTATTCATGACTTATGAGTAATGCGGTTTTATATAATTTTTACGATATATATAGAATAGATATGTAGATATGATAGATGTAGAATTTTAAACTAGAATTAATCCTGTTTGATGTGCAGAATGTGCTTATTCACGGCATTATGTTGTAAAACTGAGATACTCTGTGCCCT